ACATTTGCGAGGAATACCCCAAAGAACGGACTGACTGTGTGGTGGGCGAAGTTTTGGTAGTACCGCGTTTTCGCAGTATGTACATGCTACTGACATTCAGTTAGTGTACCTGGGTACCATGCATCATTGTTCAGACCCGTTTATTTGTTCACTCTACGTACCCTATGGCCTATGTCCCTGAGCCATAGGGGTGAAACTTTGACACCATTGAGCGACCTCTAAATATTAACCGATTTGAAAAATATTTTGAGGATATTATTTAGGCATCTAGACGAACCCTTTTTTGAGGTAGGAACTCATTTTTAAAGAAAAAAGTTTTTTGAGGACCACCCTAAAGCATCGCTGCCCTATATGAGGCTACGTTCCGCTATCGAAAAATTTCCTGACACTTTTTTTTGCGCGCTGGTCATTGTTTGGTGATGACTTATTTTACTGGGCAACGTGCCGCCAGCAAATTTTGCTTTCTTCTACAAGAAACTGGACAGAAAATGCTACAAATAGCCTACAAGGATGATGCTACGTAGAGCTGCTAAGTTTTTTAATGCATGGTTTTCCTGATGACCAATTTCGCTCAGGTCTTTCTTCCAATTACCGCACTTAAGAAGAACCTAATATATGTACGGTAATACCCGACTATAGACGTAGAAGTAGTGAATAACTCTCGGAACTGTCCCTCGTGGCTTGGAGTTCACTACATCAAATTCCGACAGAAGATTTTGTACAAATAAAAATATATTTAAAAAATCATTCCGGTGCCTATTGTGTCCCCCTCGTACCTACATCGTTGGCCACTCTCGCATGGTGATACGCTGTCTTTCAGTCCTCGTACGGAGGAATATACGAGGTATTCATGCATGATCTACTATAAATTGTAATCTGCCCCATGCTACTTAAGACCATGATTAAATAAGACATGTTAATTATATATATGATTTGGATTCATGTGAAAATCCTTACAAGCAGACTTCAAATTTTCTTTGTCATTATTAAAGATAAGCTGTCATATGATTCGTATATAAAAAAAAAAGCGCACACAGCCAGACGTGCAGATTTTCTGCATCCTTGCTTTTCAAATTCCTATTGTAATTCGTTCAAATTTACAGGTTATCATAACAATTCTTTTCAAACGGACTTTCTACCTTACGAGGTATATTAACTAATTAAGGTTTACTCATAGAGATGAAAAAAGCTAGAAAACCATTGGTCCATTGCTAGTACGCTATCGACAAAAGTTACGCACCTAAATAGCGTACCCGCTCAGTTTGCGCTTACTAGATTCTAGAAGGCAATCATCACACATCTACTACAGCGACAGTTTCAGAATAATACGGTTAATTTAAAAGAATATCATGTCATTAATGTGCGTTCCTTAGCTGACGTCTCGCACGCGGTCAGGAGGCGGGAACTTGACAAAAGACAGAGGTTGCAGTCTAGGCCTTCAAGCAGAAGACTAACTCGTTATACTAGAGCCAAACAATATGTAAGTATAAGAATAATTTGTAAGAAAATGACTAAGCAGCTTGTGACTTTTAACAAGGTCAGTTTGAATCGAAAAACACACAAATTCGACAAGAATCACTGCCAAAAAAAGGAGAGTTCACAACAGCAGCTGAAGTACATATTCGCAAACTTCACTTCGTCACGTCAACCTTCACACTGACTCAGGTTCTCAGCTGATGCTGGCGCTGCATTGCTGCTAGTCATGCACTCAAATTACTGCTAGTCGTGTTGGAAAGGCATTTGTGTGCATCAAATATTATGTTACTCATGAAACACTCATGGCTTAACTTATGCAACCGTACATTTTTACACGAAAAAGTTCAAGTTATATATTCAATTAGTTTGTACGTATACGAAAGCACGAAATCTGTCGAAAGATGATAATTTAATTTCTGCATTAAATTAACTTTGCTTGTATATGTAAACCCTATGTATGTATGTGTAGTTTAGTCACCCAGCCTCGGTATATGATTGAATTTGAAAATTGCTCAATTTATTGAAATTTTTGCCAGCTGATTATGAAAGTTATTATTTACGACTTCGGTTTTGAACAACACGAAATTAACTGAGCTAAATTGAAACAGTTACCGTATTCATAAATGAATTATATACTTATCTGTGTTCTATTCATGTTCAAGCTATGCGTCAGCCCATAATCTATGTATCATAATTTGTAATCAAATTTATGGCAGCGTGTGGCAATAATTTCGAATTTCCATGCAATAATTCGGCTTGAATATTCGAAATAAAATATTTGAATATGATCGTTCGTCGTTTGGACCAAATTCGTTCTCTAAATTCATTTTATTGTCGTGATACCTTAGTTTTATTTTTTAAGTTCCAATGTTACATAATCAAGTAAAATAATGTGATTGCATCACGGTCGTCTATTTCGTCATTGCCACAGGCTCCTGCCTCAAGGCTCAAGGAAGTGGCGACCAGGCGATGTATGCACTCATTCACTAACACGGCGACACCGAGTTCACTACGTAGGTACAGTACTTGGCTCTTGCCAATTGCTTGAACTTTTGAAGTCTTGTGTAGTCGTGTAAGTCTGTGTCTGTACAATTGCAGGTGTAATGTAACTTTGTAAGTATGTAACTGTGTGATGGGTTTTTCAAATATCATGTTCTGTTTAGCTATTCAAAATGAATAGCAGTTAGCAGAATAGACAAATTATAATGGCGTATAAAAGATATTTTTAGAAACCAGTTATTCACCACCTCACCCCCCCTTCTTCTTTTTCTTCATTCATTTTACACTTTTTTCCTTTATAATACACACATCTCACAACAATGTCTCTCATTCGCTTTAGATTACAAAGTTATCTAAATGGCGCGGGGTAAAACCGGGGGGCTTTGCGCCCCCCAAATCAGGGGTTTTCCGTCATTGGCAACCAGTTCATTTCCTTAGCTAGGTAGCCTACTCATCCAAGATTCCACTCAACATTTCAATCTCGATCCCTAAATCCTAATCCCTATTTCATTCTGCGGCTCAATAGCAGCGGCTGCAAGTTGTAGATCCTGTTCCTTGTCTTAGTGGCAGACTGGCAGTTAGTGCTCTGTTAATCTGTTATAGTGTTTATATATAGAGGTTCTCGATAGCCCTTAGTGGATGGGTAATATATTCTCAGTTTCTCACCATCACATTCATCTAACAAAATGGATTGCAAGGCCTGCCGCCTACCAAGTTACCAACCAGTAACCACATTAATTATACTTTCCCTGCTATGGCTATGCTAATTGCTAAGGTGTACTGTGTACACTGAGCTCATGAGAATTGAGAAGCTGCTGCTAACCGTTATTCTGACATTGAAGGATTTACCAACTGCAGGTCTATCTTCTTGATGTCAGACTCAATGGCAGTCAATGCTCTTTACTAGTTTCTTATCTTCAACTGAACAATTTTTACAATGAATAACCTAAAATAGCAACACATGATGTTTAACTATTGCAGAAAAGTCTCAGAATTTTGATAATGCCAAGAAAGTTTTTGGTACCACAAGTTGCATAAAAAGTTATGAGATAAACTCTGATTCTTTTGTCATTTATGGCATGTGGGCCATGGCAGTGGCCAGTGGCACATAGTAATGACAGTGAACAAGTCAAGATATTAGGCATATTCCACTCCCTGTTTAGGTAATGCCAAATTCAATTTCACAATAAATAGATTTGATCCAAAATAAAATTTAAATGACAGAAATCCAAGGTAATTATTTCTGATGACTTTCAAAAATTGTATGCAAAAATAATGTGCCATTTATGTTATTTTTACTGAAAAAATTGGGAATGTGCTATTTGAAGAGGTAAAATTGTCGACCATCAGTGATCACTGATCAAAGGTAGTTTTTTCCTCATTCACAGGTGCTTCTGCCCAATTACTATATTATACAGTTTGAGTTGCAGCTTGGAAAGTAGGTATAAATAATCATGCTTATAGTGTGCAGTCTTGTTAACAAGTCAAGTGAAATGTAGCTTAACCTGGAATTTCAGGCAGAATTTTCCAAACAAATTTTGGGTAAAGTGATTGTTTCACAGGTCATTTTAAAGAATTGCATACAAAAATGTGTTATTTTCTGTATTTTTGAAAAAAGTAGTTAGATACGGGCCATAAAAATGAGTTTATTTGTCTGCAAGCATGAGTTTATTTTTTTATTTTTGTCTCATTCTTGGGTGGCTTTTACCAAATTTTGAAATGGAGAGAAATTTCTAGTTGTGGCTTGAAAAATAGACTGATTCCCTGCTTGACCCTTTTAAAATTTCTTAATTATTTCTTCCATAATGATGGTTGCAAAGATGATGATTATTTTCAAATTCATTCAAATGATGGTTTCAAATTCATTCAATTTGTTTGGAAAATTCATTTTTGGCTTTCTGGCATTAATTCAAGGTTCAAGCAGTCTTTTCTGCCAAAATATTTCTACCCATTGATCCATTTGTTTTAGATACTGTATCACATCTCTGCAATAAGAAGGAACTATTATATAAACATGAAAGAATTGTTTTGCAAAGTTCAAAAGAATCTTTTAGCCATTATGCCCAAAACAGCGATAAGCATTAAAGGTACCTACAATTTGAGTAGTAAGTTTAAAATGGCTCAATGCTCAATTTCTTATTGTTGATGGTATGGCAAAATAAAGATATAGTCCACTTTCAGGTGTTCCAATTGAATTTGCTTAAGAAATTTTTAATTTTATAACTTTGTAAGGCAACTTTAATAAATCCCATGTTGAAGTGAGTTTGTCTGTGCATGCTTCACTTCTGCTACACCTCAAATGCATTGATATGTGGCATAGTTTTGTGGGAAATTTTGAGTGCAGATTGAGGCTTATGATCCTGTATTGATAGATTTCAACCAATTAATGGTAATTGCACGACGTATGTAGCATCTTGCTGACTTCAGCAAAAATGGTACATATATTGACCGTAATCTTCTTTCAAGGTCTATTTTTTTAATAATATAATAATTTTATGTTATCCTGTCTTTCAGATTTTATTTCTTAGATAACAGCTTTTATACTTGAATAAATCTAGTTTCAAAATAGTATTTATTGTGCTGTTGAAGAACAGCAAACTACCATGTCTGCTCCAGTCCATCATCCAGTGAGTGTAAATTTATCTTTGCGCGTGTCTTAAATGGCTTCTTAATTTATATATGTATAATTAGTAAATAACTTGCTTAAGCCTAAGCACTGAAGTGGCCAATGTTCTTAACATGTCTACCTGTACCGTAAAATGTGGTAACTTAGACCACTTTTTTTCTTATAAATGATGCCATTTTCTTATTAGCTAAATTAAACTTGAATTGAAACATGCAAAATTTAGATATGCAAACTTTTCAAATCTTTCTATTGTGTTATGTAGCCTCAGTATTAGGCCTTTAATGCCCATTGACAAAATTTTTCTATGTCAAATAGTTTTTGAGTTGTGGGGGTTTTTGTAAAAAAAACGAAAAGTGGTCTAAGTTACCCCGCCGGTCTAAGTTACCCCATTTTACGCTATTACAAATATTTCATTAGTAGTGATAAATACATTTAATTGTGATTGGATCATAGAAATTATGTCAAATCATTCTAAGTGCCACTTGAACTTTTTTATTCAATGATCTTTACTACGTACAGATATATCTTATGGGAGGCATGAAATGTAGGAATGTACAAATATACTGTGGCAACTTATTGGTCATTAGTGGCAGAGATTTGCTATCCAGAACTTGAGGTTTGATAGGAGTGCAGCTTTATACTCCTGGCAACTTGATGTAATGGCATCTGAAAATTTAGTTTAGTGCCATGACTAATCTAATCTAATCACTAATCTTCCAGGATCTTGAAAACATTGCCTTGATCTCCCATTTTCAAGAGTCATAATCTGTTTAGTTTTCTGGGGTCAAACTATTTGGCATGTAGCTTTGAACATCACCAATACTTCAGGCCACTTATTTATCAAAATCAAGTTCAAGACCTCATGAATAATGATGATAGGAACCATTAGGTGGTGGAATCCCCCCTTATTAACCTCCTCCCTTACTGCCAAACCTTATAAACTGTCTCTCTGCCTTACAACCATGCTTTGCTGTATGACCCTGGGCATTGCAAAAATGCAGTAGATATGCATAAAGTGTTGATATCTATTGATGATAAATTGGCAATCATCAAGAAACATGTTCATTCAACTTTGCTCCAAACTGTTCATACAAACATCCATGTCAACAACATGGACTGGAGTCTTTTCCATTGATTTTAATCAGGGAAAATGGGTTCATTTACAAAAGAACTGCTATGCAAAAATAGTTCCTGCATAAATTACATACATACATACATACAATTGCATAGGTAGGGTTCCAATACCTATTTGAATGCCTATAATTGTTTGGTCATGTTTCCCCTTAAGATTATTAGGATTTTAATTGAACTTATAGCTAAGACCTACAGGTTATTTCTGAGCAACATTCAATTGAAGATCTTGAAGTCCCACTATAACTAAAATTTGACATACTGAATGTAAAACACTAATAAAATATGCCATGCCTCTTAGAGGTTATCAGTCATTAGTGAGTTTATGAAAAATTAAATTTTGTCTTATAAATAATGAAATGGTAATGTGAGATATTAATTGAATCAATAATGTTCAGGCCACCCCTCACCTGCAAACAATCCCAGGAGGCTTCACTCCCGGCTGCATTGCTCATGTCACCGGCACCTTCACTCCAGGAGCGGCAAGGTGCGAGTCGTGAGGCAGGTCTTGCCCTCGAAAGTCCAGAGTTCAGCTAAATGAGTTGCCCTCTTTTTTAAATGAATAAAAATGAATTATAATTTGATGAACATGTGCATGTATTCAAGACCTACTCTTCTGAAGATCAGGCATCCCAAGGATATAATGATAGGCTTGTTTTTTTTATCTTCTTGTTAAACATTAAAACAATTTTATTTCACATGCTCCCATACCATTGCATAACTTCTCCTCAGTGCATATTGAACATCTAGTTTAAGTCAATTTTGAATTTAGTTGTCAATGCCAATTCTCCATGGCTTTTGTGTATATTTGGCAGATGAATTCATTTTGGGCTGAAGCTGTAAGTGTGTATATCTAATTAGATTTATAGTCAGATGGGGTAAGACAGGACTGAAATCACTAACAAGCCTGTAGCATCTATACCATGAATAACTAAAAAACCCTAAACCTATCACAAGGTGTATTTATGCAATGGGCTTCTAAGCTACAACTCAGACTTTTTGCATACAACACAGTTTTCTGTACAGATTAAAAAAAGTGAGCTGGTCCCATCTTACCCCACTGGGGTAAGATGGGACCAGGCTGGGGTAAGAAAGGACCAACTGGTAATTCTTATGTTACAAGGTTTTTAATAAAAGTACAAATCTGATATTCAATATTATCCATCTAGAAACACATTATTTGATTAAACAACCATTTGTTACTGTTTTGTGTTGTGGGAAGTCAACTCTAATATCAGTCACATTGAAGTTTTTGTCACGAGAAAACTTTGTTAAGCATAGTAATAGTGGGTTGGCTTTGGTTCATTGTAGAGCACTGCTAAATGCTTCATGTATATTCCATTAGTGTCATTGTCTGAAAAATTTATCAAATTAGTAATAAAACCAATGGATAATAACTGAAGTGTCAGACATCATGTGTTTTCTTGCTAACTGCATTTGTGGTGCACTTCTTCAAATGCAGCCCATGCCCTCTCACAAAGTTGTGATCATAATTATTTTTCATGTTTCACACAGTGATTTTCCCCCAGCCAATCTTGCACATAGTTCTGCAGCTCACTAATGGGAATAGACATCCCTATTTTCTATATCCCTTTGATGCAATTTGAAATAGTGCACGAAATTTTTCTAGTTAAAAAAGCTAACAAGTTATAATGAAGTTTGAGCAAAAGATGAAAATTTTGACCAAAATATTCCATGTACTAAACAATAATATATTCATTAAAAAACTATTTTTGATAAACTGTAGGGTAATAGAGGACCATTTGTAGGGTAAGATAGGACCACTTGTGTGGTAAAACAGGATCATTTAGTGGTCCCATCTTACCCCATGTCCGGTCCTTTTTTACCCCATTTTAGAATACATGTCAGGCAGTGATGGTAGCAGGTAGGACTGCCTAGTATGTCTAAACAGTTGCCTATTACTTGTGGTTACCTGCCTACATCCAAAAACCTGGCCGAAAAATTTTTCATCATTGGACAGAGCTTATTTCCCAAACAGGGTTAACTATTTTGTGACTCTTCTTTACATAGGTTTTCTTTAAAAATTAGCCAGAAATTCATTATTTGCAGAAGAGGGTTGCCACAAACACTGAAATGACAGGCAATGATTGCTCTAACATATTCTTTTGTCAAATGTAATTCAATGCAATTAGAATGCACGCCATGGGCTGGTCCTTTCTTACCCCATGAAGTCTGTGATCCTGTCTTACCACATTTGACTATATGTGGCCTCTTGGAAATAAGTATGCAAATGGCACTTCTTGTAGAGGCAAATTTTGGTTGAAATAATAATTTCAACTACAAGCTAGTCCACTGACACCAATAGTTTGTATATTGCACTGCAAGCTCTCATATGAAGCTTAGTCTTGAATAGTAGTATTAAAATTTAGTAATCTTACATTTTTCATTGCTAGGTTTATCAGCCCTCATAACACTGCTCCATGATTTAGCATTAAGCTAAATTATCTTAATATCTGAATTACACTAGCATTGGCCATGTTTCTTTCTAGGAATTTACCGTAGGACTTACCCATATGTCATATCTGTTGTTACTCAAAGTCAAGGGTCTCTCACTCATGTCATATATGTCATTACTTAAGCGTCTCTTACTCATATCAAATGTAGTATGTAGTATGTAAATGTAACTCACGGGTCTCTCTCTGCTTGCAGTCTCATAGTTAAGCTACAGTCAGGGCCATCAGGGGACCCAACAGATGAGATTGGGTTGTGCGTTTATGGTCGGGTGCGCGAGGGGCAGCTTGGCCGCAACTGCTTCACCCGCTCTGCTGGGTGGGGCAATGAGGAACTCACCCACTCTGTGCCTGGTCTCTCCCCCAGTGCCACGTTTGATCTCACTATTCTCTGTGATCCTCAACAATTTAAGGTAACTTAATCATTACATTTGTAATAAAGTTGTGACATCAGCCTTAAAAATGGGCAGAATCTGTTATTAAATCATAAGGAAATTGACCATGTTTTGTTCACTTATTGTTGTGAGGTGTTGCAAAAATGTATAAAATATCACTTTCATAACAATGATAGTAGGAAAAGTACATCACTTATGTTTTGATTAAGACATCCATTAGTTAAAATTTTATTAAAGTGTATTAGCAATAGCTTTAAAGGAATAAGTCTGCTAATAAACTTAGTTTAAATCTGCTCCAAATTCTTTTCAATTGCTTAAGATGAAGAATATTGATCAAATTTGTTGCTATGCTGGAGGTAAGATGAAACTTCATGGTCCAGTTTGTCCAGAAATGATGAGCAATAAAACAAACCTGCCCATAAGATCAGAATTGGATCACTGCATAAGCAGTTCTTCATCCAAACTGCTTTGCGTCGAATAAAGAAATTTTGGGTTATGTTGCATGGGTGTCAACTCAAAACTGGTTTTTCAATAGTATCCAATATGATTGTTTAGGCTGTTAATTTATTGTGCCAAAATACTTGGTGTCACCATTGCTTGGTGTGGGGTTCAACATGTAAGGATTGTTGATGGTTACAGCTCATGTATTGTAGTATATCTGAATAGCATGACGTGTCATTCCCACATCACAGCCAATGTATTGGTTCTAAACAGGTTGGGTCTTTGTCAATCATAGGTTGGGTATTGGGCCAAGAGGTTGGGTCTTTGTTCAGGTGTTTGCAGAAGTTACCTTATTTCTTCTATAAGAAGAAGCAATTTGAATGCAAGTAAGAATTAGACTGTACACGTACGAAGATCACTGTAAATAAGCTTGATATTGTTCTTCTTCTCTCCAGATTGCCTACAATGGAAAACATCTATGTGAGTTCTCCCACAGAACAAACCCTGCTTCCCTCACCTATCTTCAGGTGAGGTTTTTTATTTTAATTTCATTTTTATGCATTTGGGGGGCAATAAATCTTTCATATTTGTTATTAGGTTTGTGTTTCTGCTCTAGATTGATGTCAGTGGGAAGATAAAAGACTTTCATGTTCATTACTCACAGTGGGCATTACTCCCAATAATATTCATTAGGTTATTGTTCACATGGAATAATTAAACACTAAAAGTTTATTAATTATTATATATCCAGCGCTAATTAACTGTTTAACATTGGGTGTTTGATGTGCACCAGGAATATTCATAAGTTATTGTTCCCATGGAGTACGTAATAGCACTGTAAGTTTATTAATTAATATTATATCTAGCGCTAATTAACTGTTTAACCAGAATTGTTGGCGTGCAGGTGGGCAGCCTGCCTGGGGACCTGACGCTGTCATGCGTGTGGGTGGAGGCGCCCGCAGCTGCCCAGCACGCAGCCAGCGCCCCCGCCATGGCTTATGGTGCCCCTCCCCCACCCTACACCCCCAACAACCCCCTGCCTTATGACCCCAACCCCCAGATGGGGTATGCACCTCCCCCAGGCATGGCACACACGCAGCAGTACCCCCAGCAGTACTCCCAGCAGCACTATCAGGTAACTCCCCCAGTACCTAGCTCTCTCCGGTGACCAACCCACCTCCTCCATCTTCCCATACTCTAGGAGTCTATCCCCACTCCTCGTATCTCCCATCACCCCTGTACTATAGCCCCACTCCCCCATCTCAACCACCACCCACCACTAAAGTCTCACTCCCCCATCTCAACCACCACCCACCACTAAAGCCTCATTCCCCCACAGGGAGGCCACCAGCCCAAGGGTCTCATAGGGAAGCTGACCAACGCCGCGACGGACGTGGCGGGCGCCCTGGGGGCGGGGCACCTCGTGGGCGTGAGTCTTCAGCTTTGATTATTGTGCCACAAGACGTGGGTGTGAGTCTTCAGTGTTGATTATTGTGCCACAAGACGTGGGCGTGAGTCTTCAGTGTTGATTATTGTGCCACAAGACGTGGGCGTGAGAGTGCAGTTGTATTTGGTACGGAGAAGTAAGGTACATGTTCATACTTCGTTTAGAGTTTCGTCCATTGGAGGAATATTCGTGGTCATATTTCACTGCAACATTATTTGATGTGAGGATAACTTGAAGTAAAATTTCCGGCTTGATACAACCACCTAATTCCCCTCAATCCAGCCACTTAGCTCCTCTCACTCCCGCCACCTAACTCCCCTCTCTCCAGCCAACTAACTCCCCTCTCCTCTCCTCAGAAGGCCACGCAGTTCCTCAACAAAAGCCCCGGCGGCGGTCACGGCAGCGGGGCGTACCCTCAACAGGGCGGGGTTTACCCTCAACAGGGCGGAGCTTATCCTCAACAGGGCGGGGCTTACCCTCAACAGGGCGGAGCTTATCCTCAACAGGGCGGGGCTTACCCTCAACAGGGAGCCTACCCCTACAGCCAGCATGGAAGCTACCCCCCTCCAGGTGGGGGGCACCACAGCGGGGGCGGAGGACTCCTCAAAAAAGCCGCCATTTTGGCTCCCGCCGCCATAGCCATTGCCGTCAGTTACCCCACTTTTCCCACTAACCCCCTCACTTGTTATTGCGTATATTTTGTTATATAAAATTTATTTATATGTTATACAATTGTTGTATTGTTGTGCCCCATAGATTCCCAGTCGCTAAGTTCAGTTTGTTGGTGTTTTTTTGTTAACGTCACTCATGCTTGACGTCATGTCTGCTCATGACGTCACTCATGCTTGACGTCACGTCTGCTCAATGCGTCACTCATGCTTGACGTCACGCCTGCTCATGACGTCACTCGTGCTTGACGTCACGTCTGACATGTCGTCACTCATGCTTGACGTCACGTATGCTCGTGACGTCACTCATGCTTGACGTCACGTCTGCTCATGACGTCACTCATGCTTGACGTCACGTCTGCTCATGTCGTCACTCATGCTTGACGTCACGTATGCTCGTGACGTCACTCATGCTTGACGTCACGTCTGTTCATGCGTGTCACTTTTCCTCACACGTAAACAATGTCCAGAGCTGAGAGTCTCACTTCACTTGTGCCCTTAATGCGTATTGTGATTTGTTCGCTCGATATACAGGGGACGAAATATTGACTTGCACGACAAATGCTCTCGCGGTCGTGACATTTGGTATCTCTTTGACCTCATCTCTTATTTCCCTCATCAACTTCTAACTTGTCTTCCTAATTGTTTTCCTTAGAACCGCGATGCTCAAGGTTGCATCATAATTCTTTTTCTAGATCGCCTCGGAGTTTCCCCATATTGTATATGTTCATATTGCGGCATTCATTCACTCGGATCAAGGACTCGTGTCTCAGTCAGCTTATGATGGCAGGAGTTAGCAGCTTTGGTAGTACGCTTTATTCTTACCCAGCGTTGTGCTGACGGGGCCTCCGCTTATTTATTGCTACGTTCAATTGACAGCTTTCAGTGGACGCGAGTTTATCTACGACTTGTTAACATTTTCTTGATCATTTTTTTGACGAAGGTCAATTTAGTCGCTTGAGCATTCTTAATATAAATGAGATAGCAGGATCAATGGGTATGGTAACAGCTGTCTCGGCACAGCGCTCAGATCTGATTGTGTTGGGATAAGCTTTATGCTGAAGAGACAATGTTGGCGATAGCACAACTCTCCAAATGACAGAGTGTTGGCTTTGTCCTGTTATTGGCAGGACATTTCCGTCACAACGATGTCATACAAAAACACAAATTTCTGTGCATCATTTGTTGCACACGATTGATGTTTGTGCCTCTAGGAGAGATAAACTACGGCATATTTTACGAGCATCGAAACATTTATTATTAGTTGAGTTATGGTCTGTTGTTGTGCAGGGTCCTGGTAAGGCTCTGAAGTATGGAGCTCCTCTCGCTGCTGCCGCCTACCTCACCAAGGGCAAGAAAGTGAGTGCTGTAGTACAGAAAAATTACTTGAAATACCGCCTAATCGTGAATATATTTCGTTACCGCAGTCGCAAACGAAGATAGTGTCGGTTATTAACCCTGCTTCTAACCCCCTGGTAGTTGGTCACTAATACATGAACGTGCTAGTGCAGACATCACGAACTTACTAACGATGTGTTGTCACTAGCACTAACGCAGCGCTGCCCGCCAGTGCGGTGGAGGCGGAGGCACCAACAAGCTCCTCAAGTATGGTGCGCCGCTCGCCGCTGGCTACGTCGTCTCCAAGGGCGTCCGCAAAGGGCTTGGGGGATTCGGTGGAGGCTGGAGTGGATCAGACTCGGATTAATTCATCTTCTTTTAATCCTGACTTGATGAGGTCTTATGTCATGGCAAATATTTTGGCTGTTGCGCCCAGAGATCGCAGTGGTCGTGGTCAATTGTGTGAAAATAGCGTGTCGACATTTCGAAGTACGGTCGCAAATCCCAAACAAACCTTAGCCATAACTCGTGGGTACGATACGTTTGTTTTCGTTTCGGGTACACAAATAGCGTGAATATCAATGATGTTCTACAATTCGACGCCAGCTTCCGCTCTTCCTCCTTCTTGTTTGAAGTCGAAGATTTATTCTTGGAAATTTCTTCGCTCTGCCAAAAGTGAACAAAAAAGGTTGTGAATCTTGAATTTTGTGTCTTGGCAAATCTTGCCGTTGCTGAGCGTTTAGCGATGTGTCATTATTAAAAATGGTTAATGATTGTTAAAGCTAGGAGTTTGGAGATATCAGAATGCTGAAGGAAATTTTGGATGTCCCGTTATAGATATGCATGTATCCATGTATATAACAGAACGATCAGATGTTTTTGAATTACCGTCATATGAGCTTTACATTTGTTGCAGCGTTCAGCACTCGAGTGTTAAACAGTTCAATCATCTCGTCCGAGTATTGCATGCGTAATTGAAAATTTTCGCACGTGTTCCTGAATCCAAAATGTCGCGAAATTACTTGTCAGTATTTTTTTAATTTTTGTTTTGTTGTTTAATCTCATTAATTGATCTGCTCTTTTTCGGTAATCTCATTAGTTTATATGCTCTATTTCGGTAATCTCATTAGTTGATCTGCTCTATTTCGGTAATCTCATTAGTTGATTAGCTATATTTCGATAATCTCATTAGTTGATCTGCTCTATTTCAGTAATCTCATTAGTTTATCTGCTCTTTTTCGGTAATCTCGTTACTTGATCTGATCTATTTCGGTAATCTCATTAGGTGAACCACTCTATATCGGTAATCTGATTAGCTGATCTGCTCTATTTAGGTAATCTCATTAGTTGATACAATATATTTTGGTAATGCCATTAGTTTATCTGCTCTGTTTCGGTAATCTCATAATTTAATATGCCTTATTTCGGTAACTACATTAAGGTCTTTTTGAGGTAATCTCATTATTTGATGTGCTCATATTTAGGAAGTCCAATTTGATTGTCTTTTATTATTTAATTCAAGTCATCAAGTGACACTACTTAGCGTTCTTGCCCTCGCTTTAGTCTCGCTATCCGTCTTATCTGTTGTACATCGATCCATACTTAGGCATCTCGCAGCTCTGGACCAGGCTCAATACTTGAGCAATCTTGCTCGTTCAGTTTTATTTCTTTGCAGCATTCAATGTATTTGTTACGTACGATGCCTTCCCACTTTGCGCTTGTCAGGTGTTGGGCTCAAATGTTGAAGTATTTAGGCGAGATACTCGAATTTACGACCAACATAACTAGAACGAGTGTTTGATCGTTAGGAATGCCGTCATCGTAAGTGTTGATTTATTAACCGTTTAATTCTATTAGATGTTTATGGAGATTATCTAACAATGTTGGCTTTACTAACGAATTTTATAATGTTAACTTAGCAGAGTGTCCATACCCTAACATTTACGGAATATATATTTATTTGCCTTTGGCTAGTATGTCACAATTCTCCATGGTTATTCATTTGATTTTTAAGTTTGTTGGCATAGTAAATAAGTTATTCCTTCACATTTTATTTAATACTGTCACTCCTCTTACATTATTTGTTTTATCTTCGATATTTAGAAAATCAAAATTTTAATTCCTTTTATTGTTAATTTTAAATTACTTTTAATCATTAAAAACTTGCCTGAAAGAGCCTTTCACATTTACGCCATGGTTGAGTAGTGGTTTTCATAAAGTTTCTTTCGTGTTCGTAGGCGCACATCCTCTTCGGAGGAACAGCCCTGCTGAATTTTACAGCACTTTTTTTAATTAAGCGAGTCAGTAACATTCTTGTCAATGTCGTTCACACCGACGGCCTGATAACGACACTTGCCCTCAAGCTATGGCTGCGTCGTGTCGCGACGCTGCGTCCCAAGTAATTTTCTTACCTAATAACTTAGAAGTTAAAAGCAGTAATTCCTGAGGTTACTTCTATTCATAACCTAGACTGACTAAAGTGGCTGTGTTTACCAAGCGCCTAATCATGGTTTCAGAACTGTAAGACTTCTAATGTCATCTTTGTTCCAATTCTATATATAATTGAACTTCTGGCCTGGTTTGAAGAAACATCGCTCATTTAACCCAAGTTCGAGCGCAATTTTTATACTGTTCATCACTGAGGGTTCAGACCCTCTCCGCCCTGTCAGATAATCAAACTGCGTCCCCCATGTGGATGAGGCAGATGTACATCTCGTTGATATTCTATAGCGACGGCGCGAAACGGTGGATCAAGATCCTGCTCTAAATATGCTGCCCCAACGTAAGCGCAAGGATCGCACGACGAATGAGTTAAACAGGCCGGCGGTGATGATCTTTGCCATCTTCATCGTTAGCTCCTGAATGTATGAAGCGCACGCTGTACAGCAATCTACTGGGTGCGATATAGCAATGTACAACATAAGATAGGCAAAATGTAGACGAGGAAAAAGACAGATTATCATTGAAATATATTTCTGATCTGTCACCGGAGTTCGGCTGCGTACAAAAATATGGAATTTCGATCCCAAATAATTATTTTCTTTTTGTTAAAAATTCAACTGTATACTAATATCATTTAGTCCTATTGCATTTCTAGCAGAGCAAGCACGCACCCTTCTCATCACACACACCACACGATAAGCACATGCTGGCTAGCTCTGGAAGATGGAGCGTAAAGTGTACGTTCCACTGTTCACTTTCTGCTACATATAAAAATGTAAAACATTATTTTGTTCGTTGGCTTTAATGGGCTCGACTCAGCAAACGGCTAGTTGTGCAACGAATCTTCAGGAACCGGTTAGTCAATTTCTTAAAATTATTCTCCCAAGCTAATTGAAAATATCGTACATATTGAAAATTCAATATTCGCTTCACCTCGAACGTGAATACATATGGAATTAAAAGCAGGTTCCCAGTAATACAAGGGGCACTAGTGAGGACATTGAAGGAGAGGTTTTCCAATTGATTTCAAAGATATCGAGACGAGGCTACCAGGACATAATCAGCAAGCAACGTAATCAACACCTTGAAACAAACTAGAAATTAGTTAACTTCAGCGCAACAATACTCAATGAGATTCAATGGGTCAGGCAATATTAAACGCGCGTACACTTGCACATCTTACACTGCCCACTTATGGAGGCAGTGACTATCCTAACGTGCCTTATAAATAAATATTAAAACAGCGTACCAAACCACCGATCACATTTCGAAATGGTAACTTGTTTAGTCGTTACTTACCGTACAACATGCACTCCTTAAACTATGAGTCTTAAGACGAATTAGCACCACTACACCATCATCTACATTGTGAGTGAATTGCACTTCATAAAAACAGTCTTAACACCTAAATTCATTTTTAGAATAAAGGAGCCTAATAAAAATGAGCGCTAAGAACTAGTTTGTAGAATCACTGCTCTCCGCAGATCCGGCAAGTTCAAATTTGAAACTAAATTCGAGTTGAAAGCTTGATAACAGGAGCGTTGCTTGACGATAGCGTCAACATGATTACTAAAGCTAAACGTGTCTTCTATCATACAAGTCCTGCTTGGTACAAAAAAATCCTAATAAATAAATTAAATCGATAATACAGCATTATAACTATCAGGAAATGAGCAGCAGGTTCAGTCAAGGGTGTCATGACTCGTCAATTCTCAGCTGATTGGGCGCGAAATAAGAGACCATTACAGCTGCAGAAAGACTCTCCTGCTCTCGATTGTAAAATTAGGACTTTGAGATTCTATGCAATACGTCAATAAACTTAGAAATAATGAGTAACTAAGCTAAAACTTAATACCAGACTAAGCTGCAGCTTAATACAAAGACTAAGCTAAAGCTTAATCCAGACTAAGCTAAAGCTTAATACCAACAATAGAACTGCCACAAGGATAACAAACACAAAAGGAGATTACGAGCCAACGGCAGGATAACAAGCGAGGAATGAAAACACCGGGAAGTTACGTGCAAACGGGAAGCGCAAGGAAATATTAATTGTTATCACCGACAAAGACGGTTTGTTATTGGAAGCGTATCAGGTTTTTAAATAATATGAAAAACAGACTTATGCAAGAGAATATGATCAGCAAATAGCTGATAGAATAGCTTCAGTCACACTATCACTTCTCCGTCCCAAAAATAGTTACTATATTTCAACAAATGTTATCGGAAAATTGAATTTGAAAAGCCCACTCGTTGACCAACCAACAACAAATATCTCATTTCAATGACCCATTAACAAGAAATTATGTGGCAGCAAACGGCTAGTAGTGGGCAAAAGGGACTGACACGAAAAACTTCACGTGTTCTAATTAACCGGGCTAACGGGACTGCATGAGATTACTATGTATTATGGATTGTTTCATACAGCCATACAAGAAGTGGATGAAATGTAGATAAATCACGACAAACCTTAGTTAAAGATAAACTGCCGTATTCTGTTTATGAAATCAAATTGAAAGAATCAAAGCTGTTAACAACACTTGTTCTTGGTGAGCAAAGCAGAGGGGTGCCCGGTTTCCAGTCAAACCGGAATGCGAATTACCCGGGACCTCGACTTTAGGTATGAGGGACGATCAAAAGATTCGCTGATGATTATAATATGGAGAATATATAGAGCAGCTCTCAGTCTGTGGTGGAGCACCTCTGCAACAGGGCCACGTGACAGTCGTCACATACTCTAACAGGCTTGGCAGAGGAAGGCAGGGCCATGCTGTTCTGGCTGCAGAGGTTGCAGAAAATGTTGCCACAGTTCCTGCAGTGATGGCGACGTCTGGAAATATTGAACTCCTTCAGGCACTGCCGGCACTGACGCACGTCCTTGTCAGGCGCCCACTGCGCCTCCTTCAGCGACCGCGACACGTCCTGGGGGAGAGACACGTTACTGCATGTAACTACACAGGGAAGAACTGCACTACACTGCAGCAATTAGAGTGAAGCCTAGCGACGACTCGGAGACGGAGGACGGCGAAGGCGGCGCATCAGCGTGACCCGGGACTAGGAAGTCCCAAACTCATCATAAGGTCACGTCTCGGCTTCTGCCGTGCACTTACTGTGTCACGTCTCGGCCTCTGCCGTGCACTCACTGCGTCACGTCTCGGCCTTGCCGTGCACTCACTGTGTCACGTCTCGGCCTCTGCCGTGCACTCACTGTTTCACGTCTCGGCCTTGCCGTGCACTCACTGTGTCACGTCTCGGCCTCTGCCGTGCACTCACTGTGTCACGTCTCGGCCTCTGCCGTGCACTCACTGTGTCACGTCTCGGCCTTGCCGTGCACTCACTGCGTCACGTCTCGGCCTCTGCCGTACGTCACGACTTGTACGCTCAGTGCAGAAGGCTGCCCAAGTCTACGGTAAGTGTATTGCAAGCGAGTTCAGTTTGGGGCGCTGAGATCACGTACTTTGAGGTCAGCAACTTTGAGTTTAGAGTGCGAGAGCTGAACGCCGAGTTCCTCCATGGTGAGCTCCTGCTCGGCGATGGTCCTCCTGAGGGCGTCCTGAGAGCGCTGCAGCTCCGCGTGACTCTGGGGGGTGGAGGAGGATCGCGTCACGGGCATGTAAAGGCTTTGAAAAAAACGACGAAACTGGGATAATTCATTGGAATGAAGTTACAAACACGCTACCCACACGTGTCCAGCTACCCACGCACTTTACACATCACATATACACACACCATACACATCAACACACCAAAACACTCTACACATCAGTACACTCTACATATCAATACACCTATACACTCTACACATCCATACACTCTTCACAGCTACCTCCTTAAGCTTCTCGTAGTCCCTGGCGAGCGCGATGTTCTGCTCCCGCTGCGTACGGTCGGCGTCGAGCGCCTCCTGCAGCGCCACGCGCCACTCGCGCTCCACGCGCAGGTCGCTCTCCAGGGAGCACCACTTCAGCTCCCCACTCGAGATCTGCAGCACCATGGAGCTCATGAGGTCACCATGGAGAAGCAAAGGTAATGAAGCTTAAGTAGTTAAAGGTTACTTATTGTAGGTGACGATGTCGCGCGTATCAGTAAATAGCTTATGGGAAACTGAGAAGATGCAGAGCAGACTGTGCACATTACCAGCATGTGCACCGTCCAGCACCTGCAGCAGGAGGTGTGCACATTACCAGCATGTGCACCGTCCAGCACCTGCAGCAGCAGGTGTGCACATTACCAGCATGTGCACCGTCCAGCACCTGCAGCAGGAGGTGTGCACATTACCAGCATGTGCACCGTCCAGCACCTGCAGCAGCAGGAGGTGTGTGCACATTACCAGCATGTGTACCGTCCAGCACCTGCAGCAGAGGGTTTATGACCCACTTATGACACACCCAACACGGTGACCCACCTTTTGGCTGAGCTGCGTAGCAGTCTCCTTTGCCGCCTCCTTCTGTATCACCACCTCCTCCAGCCTGCGGAGTATCACAAGTTAATTAGAATATTAGCTCCTCATGAACAGTTGCTTTTAATTATACAAAAATTCACGCAGGAGGCATTAAAGTCATCGTAGTTAAAATTCAACAGATATTTCATTACTTTGGGTTAATTCTCGGCTCATTATGACGAGTGATGAATGGTCTCAATGACAAGTGAGCTTTGTTGAGCCATTTATTGAGCAGTTGTAATTTACAAAATTAAAGTTTTTATTATGTCCAAGTATATTTTACATGCATGTTTTCAACTGAAAATTAGACCTGGTCAATCTAAGCATATAAGCGAGGAACATGCAGAGGCACATATATACTAAATGCTTTGGCCATCTGAGTTACTGATAAGCAGATGAACTAAGTAATAAATGAAGATACAATTACTAAAAATTAAAAGATAATTACGAGTAATATAATTAAAAATAAAATAATTTTAACTTTAAAATGAAAGTTAAATGCCTTGAAATGATCAGATACAACAGGCAAACATTGCACAAAAATAACAAACGACTAAATCAGATTTTAAACTAAAACTTAAAAAAAAACGGGATTGAGTTCATACAAGACAATCTACCCAAATGGATGAGCAAGATAGTAATAGACAAACAACTGCAACAGAAATAGGGCTGTCCTATTTCTTTAAGATGTCTGGCATAGTGTTTTTAATAGTGTTTGTCTTTAACGAAGAAAGGAGGAAAGACAGCAAAACGCATGCAAACGCAACAGCAACGTAGACAAGAGACAAGTGCAGCCATAATTCCATGACAAACCAAAGATTTGATATCTCTATTAACACGTGATTTGATGTTAAAATAGCTGTAAAATAATACAAAACAATCGATGAATGTAATCAAAATTGCATCTACTAGGCCGGAACTGATAAGTGGCAAGCGAGAGACTTTTGGTTGAGCGTCTGTTTTTTATTATCAACACGATACTTGACACTGATGTGTACTACACTGGTATGTACATCAGTGAATTTACTGATGTGTACATCAGTGAACACTGATGTGTCCATCAGTGTACACTGATGTGTACTGACATCAGGTCTAGTTATCTGCATGTTGATGATGGTATGATAATTGACCGAGAGTGACACCACTCGTTCCGTTAAGAGAGAAGCTCAGCGAACAGCCCTCGTCTTGCCACTGCACATGATCACGACTATACACAATACAAAATAACGTGCATTAACCGAGTTATTCTTACCCACACAAAACGTGGACCGATACAGCAGCTAAATAATCTACCGGGACGGTCTTCAGCGGAACAAACGCTAGCAGTGGTCCTTGATGCTCAACAGAAACTGATCAATTGGTTACAATGAGCTCATTAAATGGTAGATGAAAGCAATAAAATATTACATCCAGTTTCAGTGTTGTGGGCACAGAGCTGCTTTCATTACGAAGGTCAACTAGCAATCACAGATCATCAACTAATAAAATCAAAAAGCCCCGCAGTGATATCTCGTCACAAAAAACCTAATAAGGCGATAATGAATTAAAAACAGCATCAAAGTTTCATCCATAATTTTATTCATTTGATTCAACCCCATACAGAGTTTCTGGTATTCCTCCCAGATGGATACCTCTTATATATTGGCGAACGCACTCTTAGCTCAAGCACTCGCCAGTCCTCAAACAAATCGCACGCAAGGATCAGCAACGTCTTAAATGAGGACTCTAGTCCAGGCTTAATAACCACATCGGTTCAAAGACAGACTGGTGATTGCTTGCTAGACTTGAGAACTCGCAAGCGTGGCTGAGTTTATGGCACGGTACAGAATATATATAACACCTACTAATATATGTGTTATGCTCATATAGCAAATGTTGCGAGGACCATCTGACACTCCATGAGGACCAATACTCGAGCCTCGCAGGCCTCATGGCCACTCTAACATGTTCGTTATGGGTTTGTGCAGTCACGTGCACAGGCAACGCGTATTGTACAAGTTAGTTTACTTCTTAATTAGAGGAAAATATGTTGCACTTAAACATATATAATCGTCATATACATACAACAGCAATAATGCCATAATAATAGCTCCTAAGGTAATGTTACATTCAGCTATCATTCCTAGTAGTTATGTGCTCAAGTTCAGTTTTCACAGCTTGCGTCACTAGATTTGACTCAAACAGTTTATGCATCGTAGTTTTAACGCACCTAGAAACCCTAGTACGTCCGCTGTACCCAATCTCGCGAGCATCGACAGTCTATCAGACAATCATAACCATCTGAAGTAGCATATACGTAGTTCGTGACGGGATGTTCGGCAAAATTAGTTACGAAAAATATAAACGAGTCTCATAGCATTTGCGCAAAGCTCCGTCTAGGCTTCGGATACAAAAACTTGAAAGGATAAACCTTCACAAAGTTTGCAGTTCCCTCACGCTGATTCTTGATGCCGAGCCCTTCAGTAACGCGTGTTTGGGCCAATACGAGTTATGTTGCCAGCAGTGTTACAGGCAATAGGTATATGTTCTATGCTTCAGGCTTGCATTCGTAGAAACATTTTACAATACGGGAAAGGGCGTAGCGCTTTTTTCCCACAACCCCACACTATCAGTTCACTAACACGCCACATCTACGAAAAGATTTGGCCAGCCTGCTGCTGTCGGTTGACAGATCAAAGCGAGACACGAGAATCGGGGTCGGGCAAGCGGGGCGCTTCTGTGATATGCGAAGATGTTCAAGTAATTCCGGATTACGAAGCATGATTTCTTCATATGAAGCGAAAAAATATATGACGCGAATAGTAAAAGTATATCATATTTGAAGATCCACCCTTCTCATTTCTGAACTATGCCTTAAAATTTCACAGCGCGTAGCTATCGCTACCTTGACGGGAAACTGGGCGAAAAAAAAAAAATTAAATGCCAAGAAGCTAAGCATATTTACCTGCTTTCAACAAAGTCTAAATCAAATGAAATATTAAAAAGTTACTGCAAAATGAACGTATTACATTTATTTAAGTGAAATCCATAAGCAAATTTTCATTCAGTAAAGAATGCACGACTTACACGCCTAGTACTAATGAACGCAAGCTGTTATATCGACTGATGAGCTCCATCAAATCCGTCCCTACGGATCACAATTCCGAGCACAAACACATTTGTGTTTTTATATACAAAGATATGCCATGTTTAGACCACGCATACGCGGAAGTAGGTTAGCGCTCGATTGTGGAGCCATAACACTCGTACGCTCCCTTTGCGCTGCGGAAAACAGACGAGGTCCTCCGGTATAACAGGGATTGCTGACCATGTTATCGTACTAGGTCGGTTCTCGTGCTAGTAACTTTAAGTGCTAGAGAGGCCACAAGTTATAGAGAGGTCTTTAAGTACCTAATAGAGAGGCCACAAAGATATATCCCGGTAAAACAGGCAGCACCAACGATACACAGCAGCGGCACCGCTGCGTGAACAATGACATGGAACGCCTCGAGACAGTCAAGTGATCGCAAAAGTTACGTCCTTAACATGAATGTTGCAAGGATGGTTGGCAGGGCTTGATCAAGATCAGTAGAAAACTTCATTTTATTGCATTGTGATCATGGCTGCCTCAACTGATGGTGATCAAGCTAAGCCAATATCATTATTTTACCTAGTGGTTAAAAACTATTTGAAATAGTAATTCTAAATAATAAATAGCACGGTTGCGTACAAAATAAATATTACACATAATACATATGGTTATAAATAGCGGGATAAAACATCGGTAATATTACTCGCTATCACAGCGAACATATGCGCGTACATCGTTCTATCCATAACTGCATGTGATACTTATTACCATCATTGCATGTGATACTTATCACCATGACTGCATGTGATACTTATTACCATCATTGCATGTGATACTTATCACCATGACTTTCGGGACACGGATGATGGGTCGGGACACGGATGATGGGTCGGGACACGGATGATGGGTCGGGACACGGATGATGGGTTGAGATAGGCAAGATGGCTTGTGAAGACATCCAAAGCCAAACAAGACTTATGAAGAACAGCTGCTAACAAAATATATGTAACGTAAAATAATTCATAGCCAAGTGTAGAGAAATTAATTGAAATAAATACGAGCGGATGTACGGATGATTTGACTGGCGTGAGAGACCCAGATGTGATGGGTTAGAATGTAGACAAGGCAACGAATAATTTGATTATTTTATGAAATAATATATAAATCTTTGGTTTGCCAGGGGCTGCGTTCCATCAATTTTTAAAGGAAAATTAACAAAATAAACTTTCATTTCAACACAACACCAACACCACTCAGCAGTCAGGGCGTTGCTGGTCATACCCTGCATTTCTCATCATTCTCCAGAGGCACTAAGTCTCTCTCAGAACAACAATTTTCAACACAGAGAATCCGATAAAGTCAAGTAACTCGACAAAAAAGTCGACTCATGAAATTTTCATTAAAAATGATTAAAGAAATGATTTCATTAGACACGCCAGCCAAGTGCAGGTCAATTGCTTCAATTACCACAGCAGCGAGAAGATGGTAACCACATGCTGCACGCATCCCTCACATGTACCACACTTATACCACGCACACCGCGTGTACCTGACACACACTCCACGTACCTGACACGCACCCCACATGCACATCCCACGTACCCTACAAAGTACATACTGGGTACGCAGTTTGTGCACATCAGAAGTCAAGCCCGCGGCGCGCGAGTCGGCGCTCGCGAGGCGGCCACGCGCGTCTCGTAAGGACGTCTCGCAGTCCTGTAAACGCAGCCTCAAATAATAAATTAAACTCAACAACGTCACAAATAATACAAATTAATAATTGTGAAATAACAGTGGGCAAATAATAATAAATATTGACAAAACGATGATGAATAATGATGGTGGAGACGTGCTCCGGCAGCAAAAGACGTCAGCGAAGTCGTCTTCGGGAAGAAGAAATATTAAAAAATAAATAGGAAATGGTGAGCAAGCAAGAGACAAGTGATTACGTCACCCAGCGTCGCGTCTGACAAAACAACCACAAATGAAGCGAGGAGCGGCGTGGAAGAGGGGCAACAAGGACAGGTGAGGGGAATGAGTGGCGTGAGGCGTGGGTGATGGGGATGAGTTATCCGAGACAAAATGCAGGAGAGGATTTAAGAACACTCATCAGCTAAAATCAGCGACATTTCGAAGTTAACAAGACTATAGATTTTAAACTAAGTTGGAAGTTGCAAAAAAAATTAGCACCTATAATGAATTCCAGGCCGAAATTCGAGATTAAAAAAGTTAAATTACAGGAGCAGGAAAACTGTAGGGAGGCGAGAATATTTTGGATTGCTGTTGTTATAGCCAGTCGCCTAAAAATTACTCACTCGTTCTTCATGCTAAATTTTGACTAAAAATACAATTAAAATCAGACCCCCTATTTTGCGCTTGTTTTTGCATCTTTCTTCTTATCAAGAAGCGAACTCCTGATGGGAACTTTCCTAGCAGCAATGTTGCTGTTCCTAATCCCTTCAGTAAGCCTTCTGCTGGGGACAGCTTTACTGGCGCTCGCTCTGCTGCCCTCAGCCACTTTCTTGGTAGGCGCGGCATCCTTCTTCGTGGCGTCCCGCCTGTCCGTTGGCTTAGCACCTGCCGCTGTGCTCGGCTTAGCCGACTCTTCCTTGAGCGTTCTAGCTCCTGCATCGCCTCCGGACTGCACCGCCACAGGCGCATCGTGCGGCGTTCGCTGATCTGTATGTGCAATTTCTTCAGTTTCTTCGTTACCAGAAATTTCGTTCATTTCTACAGCACCAGTGAACTCAACCGGCTGTTCCAGGATCGTCTCGTCGATAGCTGGAACGTTTTGCGTGGGAAGCAATTCACCGCACTCCTGCGAGTCCAGCCGCTCGACGAGTTCTTCGGAATAGGTATTATGTGTACTGCCTGCTGGAGCAAGAACTTCCTCGGTCTCGTCTCTGCTCCTGGCGTCATCTCCGTCGGATGTGATAATGTCTGTACTATCAACTGCGACACACACAAAAGTGTCTTCAACTTTGACTTCATCGTCACCGACATCATCTCCTTCATAAACAACGTCAGAACGGTTAGATCCTTCAACATCCACCGCGCTATTATCAGCAGCATCATTCGTCTCCTCCTTATCAGCAGTACTATCATCCGTCTCACCATTAGCAGCAGCATAATCCGTTTCACCCTTATCAACAGCATCATCTCTCTCCCTCTTATCTACATCATCAGTCGTCCTATTATCTGAACCATCATCCACCACAAGAAGATCGTGGGCATCGGAGGACACTTTGGACAGCCGGTCTTTCTGTTGAGTCCAGTTGAATTCCATGTCGGAGACTTTGTAGGCCTCCCGGAGTGAGGCGCGCTTATCAAGAGCTTTATTGGGTCCCTGTTTTGTATTGTTGGAGTCGTCAAGGCCCTCGGCCGCCCGCATGGCCATCAGCATCGAGCTTATCTTGACGGTTTTCTCCTGCAGGCGAGCCACTATGAGACCCTTCTCGGATATTTCAACTTCGCATTCCTAGAAGCAGAGAGAACTGTTAGTGCTGTTCACCTACTGGAGTTGATGTTATAGTTAGACGACGGCAAGATGGAACGCAGCGATAGGTGCTAGTGAGGAGCGGTGTTAGAGCGGCGCTAACACATTCATAAGTACTTAAGTAAGAGCAATGTTGGGCCTCAATGGAACTGCTGGGACTACTTAACTGCAAGCTGACTATTAACTGCACTTATTTACGAGGAGACTTAGAGCAGAGTGAAGTGCAGTTTGAGACACAACGTTGCTGTGAGTTCGTCAACATTGCCTAGACGCCAACAAGTTACCAAACACCAGCAATCCTGGTGAATGGAGAATACATGGATTGCTGGTGTATGGAAATGATTGCTGGTGTATCCAGCAATCCATGTTACCTGGAGTACATTGAGCACGTTACCGATGGTTACGGTGCACCAGGCGTTACCTGGAGTGTATGGTGCACTCGGCGTTACCTGGAGTACATGGAGCACGTTACCTGGAGTGTATGGTGCACCCGGCGTTACCTGGAGTTGTTGTTGTTGTGGTTCCCCGGTCTCAATTTTACAAGAGACCCCCCTCGCGCAAGTACGACACCACCGACAGGGGGTCGCTCCAGAGCTGTAGGGTCGAGGTTATGTGGTGGTGTTGTCTGAGGTCCTGCCAGAGCGGACATTCCAGGAGAATGTGAGTGATTGTGTGGGGAGCTCTCTGGCAGGATGGGCAGGTGTCTGTGTCTGCTTGGCCTATTCTTCGTTACCTGGAGTGTATGGTGCACTCGGCGTTACCTGGAGTACATGGAGCACGTTACCTGGAGTGTATGGTGCACCCGGCGTTACCTGGAGTACATGTAGCACCAGGCGTTACCTGGAGTGTATGGTGCACCAGGCGTTACCTGGAGTACATGGAGCACGTTACCTGGAGTTTCTGGTACATCTCCAGGTTGATAGTCTTGATGTCCTCGAGCTGCCGCCTGAGGGAGACGATGGTGTCTTGCTTCTCGTGTATGTCTTTCTCGAGCAACTTGGCCGCCATCTCGCTCTCTGCCTTCATCTGCACCTGCAGCTCCAGCTCCCGCTCCACCTGCCACACATGTTTGAATGATCACCTCTCCATACAGACACACAACGTTACAACTGCTACACGTGGATGCGTTTCTTACCCTCACAAATAACACGTCACTGCCCGACACAAACCCGAAGGGGAACGTCTCGCTCTCTGTGTTCAAGCGTCTCTGGCTACAAAAGCACTCCGAAATAGTTTCTTAACTAAATATAAATATAATATTGTCTTCCAGGACCTCGTAGCATAAAATAGTCCGAAGTGTACGAGCCTTATTTCATGGTAGTATCGGAATTTATAGCAGCTTACACGCACCTGCGCGTTATGGGCGGCCAGCTCCTGCAGCTTACACGCACCTGCGCGTTATGGGCGGCCAGCTCCTGCAGCTTACACGCTACCTCCCTGTCCTAGCAGCCCACCTCCCTGTCATAGCAGCCTACCTCCCTGTCCTAGCAGCCTACCTCCCTGTCCTAGCAGCCCACCTCCCTGTCCCAGCAGCCTACCTCCCTGTCCTTGCTGTGCTGCTGGGCGACGGTGAGCAGGCCGCGCTCCTGCCGCAGGGAGTCGTTCTCCTCCTGCAGGGCGGCCAGGCTGGTGCGCGCGATGCTCAGGTCCTCCTTGATGAGCGCGTTGGTCGTCGTCAGGTTCTCGAGGCGCGCCTGCAGGTTGCTCACCGTCGCGCTGTGGGGCAACACATAATATTACAGGTCCTATATTACAGGTCCTATGTAACCAATGGCTGAAATGAATGCATGCTACACATAATATTACAGGTCCTATGTAACCAATGTTACCGATGGCTGAAATAAATGCATATGTCAATTGAAAATGGATGGCAAGAATAAATGGTGCCACGCGAATAGTAAATAAAAGGAATGAACGAAATACAAGCTGGAAGTGTTTCAATCATTAGTCAATTAGAAACTATGCAATATAGGATAGGGGATGCTAGCTTAGGGGATGGCAAGCATCAACTGAACAAAATGGCCGCCAAAGAATAACAACAACTCTAACAATACAACTCACAACCAATTTTTTAATAATTATCATTAGTTATTATATTAATTAATCACACGACTGAGTATAACATAATTCAATAGACTATATAGCTACATCAATGTATTGTAGCATGCATGCCTCACTTGAGGTGGCGGTTGAGCTCCTCGATGTAGTTCTTCTGGTCGAGGACGGTGGTGAGGTTCTGGTGCTCCGAGGAGGAGGTGGTGGGGAGGCACGAGTCGCTAGGCACGTCACAGCCTGGGGAGCAGATGGGGCCACGGCGCAGGTACAGCGAAAAGTCGATCACCCCCATCTGGCTGTCCAGGTCCTCCTCCTGATGTAGGGGTAACGTGTTAGCCTTATGCCTTCTTTTTGGTCTTTTTCTTGATATAGGTTATACCGTACCTACGAAGATCTAGGTTAACTAGGATGATCTTTGCCAAGCCCTCAGGGTCCTGATGTAGGGTAACGTGTTAGCCTAATGACGGCTTTTAGTCTTTTTCTTGATATAGGTAATACCTATGAAGATATAGTTCAACTAGCGCGATCTGCTTTGCCTAGCCCTATGGTCCTGATGTAGATAACGTGTTAGCCTCATGACTGCATTTAATCTTTTTCTTGATATAGGTTATAACTACGAAGATCTAGGTTAACTAGGACGATCTAGTTTGTCTAGCCTACAGGTCGCGATCGCGACGGGCGCCATAACAGCTCACTCTCCTGGTACGATGTGGTGCACGCGTCAATAAGTGTGTATCATTGTGGATCGTGTGTATCTAAATGAGCATCTCAATTTCCCATGGTTAACTGAAATAACTAACATATAACTCACTCATGTACAGAACTTCTCACTATGTTACTGTTCCAGCATTGTCGGTTGACGCCCAGGACAATCTGGGCTTCCCAAGACCATTCAGTTCACCAGTCAAAGTAAACAAAATCCTCGATATGGTGCAATGCAACGATCTAGGTGGCCTAGAACAATCTAGTTTACTTAGGACGATCAATGTCTTAGGAGAAATCCCTGTGAATATAAACGGTAGCAGCAATGCTGCAGGATACAATGATGCCATAGGCACGAGCGCCCCATGAAGAGCTGCCCTCAAACAAGGCAAGGATACCGACACAACGTCTCACAGAAGCTCCCACCTTCACACTGAAGTCCAACAGGTCCTCTCTTTCTAGGGTTCTCTTATCCGCTAGTACAGATAGCCACACTACCGCCTCCACGAGCAGACTTCCCCACACTCTTGCTGCACATAGGCCCTCGGCCTCCGCCTCCACACGCAGCGCCTCACCTCCACTCACAGCGCCTCACCTTGACGCAGAGGTTGCAGTCGACGACGTTGAGACCGACTAGGAGCCCCATAATGACGATGGCTTCATCAGCGAGCATGAGAGAGCCTGGCTCGTAGAACTCAACGAGCAGCTGATCGCGGCGCTCCAGCAGCAGACGGAAGTAATCCGCGAGCTTCTTCTGCATGAGCGCCAACCGCAGCCACGCGCGCGCCCGTCCCAGCGCCGTGCTGGGGGTGAGAGGAGGGATCAGGGGAGGGGGCACTTCGATAGATTTAATCCAGGAGATGTGTAAAATATACCTGCATCAATGATCGAGAACACTGAGTTCTCGGAGAATGTTCAAACTTTAAAGCTTTGTTCGATATCTGAGATTGCACAGTAAAAAGGAATATAGGGTGGATTAGATTACCGGCAAGGCGAACTGATTGGCACATGTTCAAGGACCCAGCACTCACTTGACGGTGGGCAGGTCCCTGACGCTGGCCGTGATGTCCTGGGCCTCGACGGCCCAGCGCTCGACCAGCTGGAATAAGTCCCAGAGCTCTTTCTTGGGGCCCAGCAGACCCTGCCCACATGGCCCAGGTATTGAGATTCACATTAACACTTTATACGCAGTGAGATGTGGCTGCATGAGAACGTGTAGAACAAACTTTTTTGAGGACTATTCAACAGGAAAACGGAAATGAACAGAAAATAACATCCCTACTTGGGCTCGAAGCCATGTCGCAACACGCGTCACTCCCCTCTTGGGCTTAAGGTCATGTCGCAACACGCGTCACTCACCCTCTTGGGCTTAAGGCCATGTCGCAACACGCGTCACTCACCCTCTTGGGCTTAAGGCCATGTCGCAACACGCGTCACTCACCCTCTTGGGCTTAAGGCCATGTCGCAGCACGTGCTCCAGGACAATAAAGAAGTGCTGCAGCGGCACGGAGTCGGAGTCGAGTTGTCGTCCGCTCTTAAGGGAGGACTCGATCAGCTCCTTCACTACCAGCTTGCAGATGTTGACCAGGTTGCTGCGCTCGATGCTCACCGGGTCCCTCTCTGCACAAACCCAATACTTTCGATATACATGTTGTGTGCAGTCATCCTCTTATCTTTATATTGTTTTTGTTTGAGTGTTAAATCGAAGCTTTTATCGTACATGTTTAATTCTTGCTAAAATTTCTACGATATTAATAATAAAACATGGGGGCATGAGAATTTCCTATATGGCCTTCACATTTTACTTGGATATACCGGTTGTTCCACAGCCTAATTGCTCTTAATAAAGCACGGCTGAGGCTCTATATCATCAAGCATTCTATATAAGCTACATTAATTAGCTTGCTCAAATAGTCAACAACATTTTCCTTGCATTACAGCAAATCAACATGTGCTCATTGGTCTAAATCAAGTGAACTGTAGGCGAGAATACAGAAAGCGAGGGCATCTTTAAATGCATTTCCAACATTTTTCAAACGAGTTTCTACTAAACATTCAACTCGGGCTACATGTTCGACTCCGCATGAGTGAAGCGAAACAGTTGTGCCACCGGCATGCTGGAAACAGCAGCAGTTGGGCCAAGGCTACAACGCGAGACGGCGGCAAGATGAGGAGTTAATTTATTGAATTGCCTTCTGCGAATTCACTGCGCACATGCCAAGTAAGATAGCAGCGAAAAATTAGTGATTATCATCATGCCGGCACCAACTTAATTACGATTCCCTCAATTCATGTTGCGTTTGGCACCGTTCATTCAAATTTAAAATCTCATTAAAGAACAGGGAGCAAAAAATGACAATGTGTCAGGTGAATTACTTGCGGAAAATACGTAGACTTTAACACACTTGTTTCGAGATTTCAACCAGCTGTCACACTAGTAAACAGTCGTTTATTTTTAATGATACTACCCATTTTCAACCATTAGAGAAACAATTCAATACAGTTGGGTTGGTTGGGTTTCAAATCGTAACTATTTTGAATAGTCACTAATCAGGATTCCAGAAATGGCCAAGGCTATTCAAGCTCTATAAATTGACGATTGAAGTAAATAAAAATTTTTTATTGACGATCGAAGTAAATAAAAGTGACGCCGAAAAGTTCATCTCGTTGAACTGAAAAAGGTCTAAAAGAAGAAGGAGCTAAGGGAGGGAGGGAACACGGGCTAGGCTATGACTAAATCTCATCTCGTCGTGCACCGCGGGATCAGACACGTGCATGGTGGAGAAGGGATGAGGTAAGATATCGGCGGCATGAAGATATGTTCTTGATATCTACCACGTTTATCGCAAGCAGTGAGAGGCGAAGGAAGAAGAATTGAAAGAATTAAAGTGAAAGAAGTAAGAAGGCAACTTAGTAAAAGACATGCAAAGAAGAGACATTATAAATGAGGAGTCAAGAGAAGTAAATCTCGCGCCTAACACATAAGACGGACCAACGGCGACGGGGATGTAAGGCGTGAAGAGGTTGGGGGGCAAGGCGAAGTGGCCCCCCAGTCCATCCGTCCCCGGACTGTGGGGGCTCAGAGGGCCTCCTCCTCCAGACGCCTCCGCAAGCTCCTTCAGACAGAGCCAGTCGCCGTCCACAGACACGCGGAAGTTGCACAGGTAAATCGTGTCTTCGGCGCCCGCCATCCTGCATGTGGTGTTATGGCGACTCGGTCATGAGGGCGGCAACAGTCGGAATTTTCTTGTTGAGCTTCGTGTTACTCACTCGACATTACAGAACGTCTCCTACAGGAGGCAGTGTCCTGCACTCTAGTAGGTATTGTTGTCTTTATAACGTGTAGGTCGCCATGCGTGACGTCAATTCAGCGTAGTTCAGTCAATACGAACGTGACCACACGGAAGGTTGGGGCAGATGTACACCCTCACAAGGCTTGTCATTCTCTTAAGTTATGAGGGCCTACAGCAGCCGGTCTCTGATGAAGAGCTTGACGCGGTATTTCACTTTGAATAAATAAATTAAACTGTGATGTGAGAATGGAACTTGAGCGAAAGTAAATACCTTCCTTTCAAAATAGCGTCAGAGTTAATATTTCACATAATGGCACATCTCTGACGGAAGAATAAGCATTAAGGGCTTATATATATAAAGATTCACTTATTCAAGGAGAAATTTTCATATTTCCATCAAGGTGACAGGAAAGCAAAAAATGAAAAGCGCCGACAGTCATAAGCCACGCAGCAGCAGTCACGCTAATTTCCTTGAAGAATGAGTGGCCAGAGTGACGAGAGATAAAGTACGCTATACGACAGCCTCATACCTGTTCGTCCTGACTTAAGAGCACGCCACCTATACTCTTGTCTCTCTCTGCTCCAAGAGCTTCCATTGAGGTCTATACGGCACCCTGGTATGCGATCATATCCTGCTACTTGGGATCACATCCTGCTACTTGGGACCATATCCTGCTACTTGGGACCATATCCTGCTACTTGGGACCATATCCTGCTACTTGGGACCATATCCTGCTACTTGGGACCATATCAGTATCAGTAGTACCACCATCGCACTATCAGCAGTAGGTAGGTAATATCAGGTAATACTACTAATACATCACACTATCAGTAGTTAGTATTACCATCGCACTGTGACACTATTAGTATCAGTAGTACCACCATCACACTATCAGTATCAGTAGTACCACCATCACACTATCAGTATCAGTAGTACCACCATCACACTATCAGTATCTGCTGATGTATCACCATCACTGGACAACACCAGCTCTGGTCTCAGAGCTCCGAAGCAACTCTGGGCCCGGAGCTCGGGCCGATGCCCCACAAGCCGCCGTCAGAGCAGCCCACGTTGCACCACAGCACTAGGGCGCACACTCACTAGCAGGCTAGTGCTAGTGCTACACAACAACACTAGGTAATGGTGCAGCACTAGAACATTATAGAAAAGCCACGGCAATATGGAAGACAGGCACAGCTCTCCAGGCGCTGCGCCGCCACGTTACTGACGCGACCGCGACGCGCGCATCGATCGCAGCGACCTCCGCCCTCCTGCACCGCCCCTCCGCGCTGCCACAAACCCTGCCACATGCAAACCCTGCCACATGCAAACCCTGCCACATGCAAACCCTGCCACATGCAAACCCTAACACATGCAAACCCTGCCACATATAAACCCTGCCACATGCAAACCCTGCCCCATACAAACCCTGCCCCATATAAACCCTGCGACATATAAACCCTGCGACATATAAACCCTGCCACATATAAACCCTGCCACATACAAACCCTGCCCCATACAAACCCTGCCCCATATAAACCCTGCGACATATAAACCCTGCACCATATAAACCCTGCCACATACAAACCCATGATGGGTTTGTATGGAGAGCTCCATGAACATTGTCCTAACCCATAATGAGACCAAACTGGGCCTAAAACAAATGCAAAGGAAAAAGTGTTCACATATTCTTGAAGCCTCTTCCAGCCAAGACAGAAAAAAACAGACCACAACAGTAAATTTTTATACAAAATTACAGGACAATCAGTGATGAAAATTAGTGGTTTTTCCTAGTTTCTTTTTGTAAAAAACATGTTTGAACAAAATTTTTAAGCCTAATATTTTCTAATATAGGTGTGAATAAAGAAACATCATAAGTTAAAAATTAAACATAGGCAATACTATACACAATGGAATATGGTACATTTTCCATATGCCAGGTTATATAATGAAAATTAAATTCAGAATAGTAATAGTTATCAATATTTCAGGGTTTATTAGGCCAAAGGCCTGTTGCTGATTCTTAACATTGCAGCATATTTACCATACAGCTTGTTCCAGTCTTGAACATGCAACTCACTGCACCAATTTTGCTTTGCTCAACCCCTGGCCTTCTTGCCGATTCTGACCAGAAACTGAGGCACAGAGCTAGGATCGAACCCGCACCTCTCTGTCCCAATCCAGGTACTCTGAACTGCAGCCACTAGGCCATCTCCCTTTGCATAATTTTATTATTTGGCATTCAAACTGTAATTCCTCTTTGCATGCAGTATGAAAAAACACGTGTGGTATGACTGCATTCAAAAATGCTTTAAATGCAGTCCAACCTTACTCATCAGTTGTACATACCGCTAGTGTCATATACTACTGGCACTGAAACCAATGCCAAAGTTTGAAGGTAATTATTATTGTAGAAAAAGCGGAAACCTACCATTTTGCGTGAGGGCAGGGGTGCTGAGTGTGACAAGGGGGATGAAGGAGAGAGGATGAGTGTTTTATGTGTGATGGTAGTGTGAAGGAAATGGCAGAGCACCTGAAGATGGGATGTGAGGCATACACATGACAGGGAGAGGAGTTAAAATGGCTGTAATTATTTAAATTAATGATGTGAGAGTAGGCACGAGAGAACAGGTGAAGAGTGGACTCAAGACCAAAAGAACTTGCTTGCTAACAGATCCTCAGTGTTTATTTATGGACACAAACACAAGGCCATGCTGCAAAGCCCCACCTATTAATGGCTATCATGCATCCCTTACCTCGTTGCCACTACCAGGATTGACAATTACAACAAAAAAACAAGCCCTGGCCACCAGCAACGCCAAGAAATGAACCAAGCTTCCCAATGTTTGAACCCTTGACTAGCTTCTGTCATCTCCATGCAACTTCCACAGCACTACAGTGGCACAACCAATTTGCTGCAATGGTGGCATGATTAGTTAGAGGATGTGCTTCTGATTGACAGGGCAAATGATATTTGGAGACAACATGGAGGCTGATGGAGAAAAGTAGGATAGTAAGAATTGGTCTAAAAGTATTGATTATTGCTAAGGTAAAAAATGAATAAATGAATAGATATCAATCATATCAAACATCTACATTTTACTTCTTGTTTCAGGATTTCTGCTAATTTACTGAATTTGGCATTCTGAAAATCTCTGGGAATAAGCCTCTTTTTAATCAAACATGCATCCTCCCAATTTCAGCAAGAGAATTCTAACTATACGTACCACTATTAGATCCTGTTTATTCTCACTTCATTTGATGCCATTGTCAGTGCAAATGGAAAGAACTTTCAATTGTGCATGCCATCTTCTTTAGAATTGCTTTCTTAATGTAAATAATGTATTAATTGTCAAAAATTCTGTAGCAGACATTTTCCAATCTTTGAGCAGATAAGCCAAAAAAGGCAATGCCTATTAAAAATTTTACCCATATCATACCTTTGCTCAATTCTCCAATTGTAACCTAATAATAATTACTAGAACATTTTTACCTGCAATTTTCAAAATACCCATGCAAATACGGTATTTATACATAGGCAGTTTTTGAAGAAAACCATATAAATTTTGAGTTTAAATCTTTGTCTTTGAGATAAGGATCTGAACTAAAAAAAGTAAAAGCCTGCAGTGCAGTGTGAATGAGCCAAAATTGTCTCTGCCAGAACAAAACTGAAAAAGAATGAAAAATCTTACTTTGCAGAAAATTATTGTGGCTTTAAAGATAGGTATTTTGGTAATTGAAATTTTTCTTAGTTTAAAAATGGCTTCTCACAATCTAGAAAAGGGATTCACCATTCAAAAAATGAAGAGTTCACAGCTTTAAAACTCCAGTCACAGGCCCGTTACAAACCTTGGCAGGCAGGGGCACATGCCACATGAGGGCATTGGATTTGGAGAACAATACACATGTGACATGAACACAGAAAATGTGCAATCACTAATCCAAATCTAAAATCACTAATCAGGTAGGCTAACCACTAACTGAATATATAAGTAAGAAGTTGAGAACATGAAGAATATAAGTAAGAACATGACTACATGAGTAGTTAGTTACCGTAAAATGGGGTAACTTAGACTACCGGGGTAACTTAGACCACTTACAGTTTTTTTAACAAAAACCCCCAAAACTCAAAAAACTATTTGAAATAGAAAAGTGTTTTCAATAAAAATTAAGGGCCCAATACTGAGGCTACATAACACAATAGAAAGATAAAAAAAATTATGCATATGTAATAGGTTAAAAAATGAAAAATGTGACCCAGGGTGGAATTCTAGAAATGGAAGTTCACTTATAAAAAAGCTTTCCAACCAAGGTGAAATGCTTTCCTTTGATACAGTGCTCTGCCATGTCCCATGTGACTGACTATAAATGGAAAGGAGGATCAAAAGTGGACAAACTGTTTCAATTGTATTATTTGTATAGTACCTCAGATTTGTTATAAAATTGTTTGATAGATATTTTCTATTTTTCTTTTATTTAATGGATTTTTTGAAAATTATCCAGGCTTTTTGTTTGTATTGATCAAGTTTGTTAAGTATTTAGTTAACCAGTACTGTTGTACATATACCATATTTGGGGGCGGGGCTTATGGGCACAACCAATCACAGCTTGAAAGCATCCCCATCAACCAATCACAGCTTGAAAGCATCCCCATCAACCAATCACAGCTAGAAAGCAGATAACATTACAATTCCATTAACCAATCACAGCTGGAAAGCCTCCCCATCAACCAATCACAGCTAGAAAGCAGATAATATTACAATTCCAAGAACCAATCTCAGCTGGAAAGTTGGAAGGGGCTAAAATCACAATCCCATTAACCAATCACAGCTGGAAAGTGATAGGTTATGTATATAATATAATGGAGTAAATGGACTGAAATTGGAAAGTTCCTGGCCTTTCCAAACTTTCAGGTCCTGCTTTCCAATATGCTATGTGTACTGGTTAATTTAATATCCCTCTAGAATTCCACACTGATGTGACCCATGAAAAAGAGCTATTATTCAAAGCCTGTTATAGAACCCCCTCCAATTTTTTTATTTCTTGGTAAAATAACTCCAGGTTTTGGTGCATTGTAGTAGAACTCTTCTAGTTACATATGCAAATGACAAATTTGAGGAAAGTGTCATAGTTTGCAAATGGGGGGTGCTGCCCCTGAATGGGGGAACTTAGACCACCTAATGTCAGCCCTGACGGGGTAACATAGACCGGTTTGGAGATTAATTTAAAATTACCATATATAACATAGGTATTTCATGTTTGATACACATATTAATGTTTTTTCTTTATGTTTCAGACTCTACAGTCTTATATAT